GGATTCGTAACCCAGACTGGTTCGTAGACGGTGATTTCGTAGACGTGTATCAATAATTGAATTATAGTATTTATTAAGTTTGATTTTTACCTAGAATGTGTATAACAAAGTTGTTATGCTTTGTTTTCAGTGATACGAAGCTAAGGGCAGATAAGGACAAGAAAGTGTAATTGAAGAATGATCTCTTCTTCACCTTCTTAAGGTTTATATACCATAAGTGTTTGTACAGGTAAACTTTGTCGGCGGATCAGACAAAATTAGTCTACTCATCATAATTTCCCGACTGTTTTCATTGTTGTGGGAGGATTAACAGGTTTCACTGAGTTGTTGTGAATGTTACTTAGGAAGTGGTGAGTTGTTTTGATTGCGAAATACTCTTTGTAGGAGATGTGTTTTCTTAAGAAGTGTTTTCTGCTACTTCTCTGCTGGTCAGCGTAGTTGAACGTTGAATGACGATACTTACCTAATACATATCTTTTAATTTTACACAACTGAATTTAATAAATTAGCGGCCTATGATTTGTCGGAATTTGTCGGACGTGGACCGCTGTGAAGCATATTTTATTATTTTAACCATATTTTCACCGCCGATCATACTTACCTGATATATTTTATTTATTTCACAAAATGCAAACACTTTTCGTCGATTTTCATCATCATTGAGGTTGAACTTTTCCCATTTTAATAACGTCTACGAATCCACCGCTCAATCCGTCTACGAATCCACTGGATTTCCACGTCTACGAACCAGTCTGGTCTACGAATTCACCTACAGCCCCTCCAAATCGCTATTCTGCTTTCTCAAGTAGTACAGTGCCATCTTTTCTTATAAACTGTGAAACTACCAAAACGTATCCGCTCACATTGGGGAACTTTGTAACGGAATAGGTTGGTTCACCGTGAACACAACATAACGAAAATATAGCGTAAGTATCCACAACAACTTTTCTCCAAGTGATCTGAGTAACATTGACCTAGTGTTAAGCATAACTCAGTTATGCCCCCTTATCTTTTATACGTGTATGACCCCTCTGTCGTCAGTTGACGTCATAGAAGAAAATCCATTTTTGACACTTATTGCGAGTCATTTTTAATGTTGAGCGTCTAACGTTATGCATTAGCACATAAACCCAATTCATATACACTTATGTCGTTCAGATATCAGGCTGTATTTTCTTCGCTCACACTTTCTGTAAAGATGCCAAATTAAAAAAATCGTAGCAGAGTGCTTTTATCGGTGCACGACAAAAAGCGGAGAAATTGACAGTTTCTTAACGCGTAACAAAATTTTAGACAACATTTAGCAGTGTCTATTTCTCAAACCGCCGAGGTAGTCGCACTTATATTCATACCAACGGATATGAAATGAAATATTCTACATTTCTGTGTAATTTTATAGCCGTACGCAGATCCAGGACCACGCGAGCGCAATTCTCGCACAACGTTCACTTTTAAAAACTTTTGAAAATGTGCGCCTGATAAAAAACTCGGCATCCAGTGCCGCCATTACAAGGCTACGCCTGGCTTACGCCTGCTGGGTAGGTGGCGTAAATATAGAGCGCTACGACTACGTCTACTATGTGCATACCGGTTAACGTTACGTCCGAGCGCACATTTTACTTACGCCCGGACTAGAATTTACGCCCGACATATGCATACGGCCACAGATGTTCGCCTGACCTCGACCAAAGTCTTTTGAACGCCGCATTCAGCCATATTGCAGCTTTGTGACGATGGGATGAAAATAATCGAATCTGGGCCAGACAATGCAAAGATATAATGTGTAACAACTTACACAGTCAGGATACGGCTACTCTACTAGCCAAGTCACCGAACCTGCCCACCGAACCAAATACATTGTATTTAGTCACACCTCAGGATGGACCAGTTCAAACACGGAATCCCCCCGTCATAACATTTCCACATCATCCCGTCACATCCATTTGAAGTCATCTATCAATGAGGAACACGTCGTCTGCTGACCTTCCTGCAACTCATGTGGTCTAAAGTCTCCTGAATATCCTCTTACCGACTGGCGGAAGACTAAGGTTCGACCTCGGCATCTTCCGGTAGTCGACCGCTGTCACCAACCAAAATCCACAAAATAACCTCAGGGAGCGGTTTTGCACACAGTGTTTCGCATGAGTGATGAATTTCGTAATCGAACGGCCCGAGCGAGTTCAAGTGAGTGACAGCCTCATGTTGGGAGAATTGATACAGTTCGTACACATTCACTACTCAATGTGTCATACACACCGACATGGTAGATGCGGTTCCCGCATACCCTCATCAGTTCCTGCTCAGGTTTGTATGTCTGTACTGTAGGGCCTGTATGGATGATCCTCTCCTAAAGCAGTACAAAAACGTACAATAACCTGGTGGAACGGGCCATGCATTGGCGAGCCCCTGGAAACCTCCCCCTCCCTTGAAAATTCCTGGATCCGCCTATGCCATGAGTAGTTGTAATCCCCTGGGCTCAAATCAGTTTGGACGATAATTTAAAAAAATAAAAATCTAGACTTTTGCAATCGTATATTGTTTTTATATATTATGATTAACCTATATTTCAAATTTGAACCAGATCGGTGAAGAAATGGATTTTTTAAAGAAAATGCCACCGCTCGGTCACTCAGCCAGGTATGACGACGGACCTTGACCTGGCATGAAATGCATGCGCTGCCTACTGGCACTAGGGGTCATCTCATTCGATATTTTGTGTTTTTCCATGTGTGTTGAATATGTCTCATCTATTGATGAACATCTTACCTGTCTTTCTTTCATAAAGTTTATGTTGAGATATGTAAAAGAGTATGATACCTGATACCCATAGAAAAGCATCGTATTAAATGTCTCAAAATCTATAGGTGGCATGACGACAGGACTGGATATTATTTGTAAATTGTTATGACATGCCATGTACTTCCAAAGTTTAATTCCCCTAAGGGGTTATCATATATTAGCTGAAATCTCTATCCCCCAGCCCGACTCCAATCATCGTCTGCTACACCCGTCCTGGTTTTGGGTTTGAGACGACCCCTCCTACATGTTTCTTTTTATAGTGATAGTGAGACTCCATGGTAGCTACATCCTAAATAGTTTCAGTATGAAAGTTATAATTTTTTACATCAGCTATCATTTATAATGAAGCTAAGTCTAATTTCAAAATGGGCATTTAAAAAGTGTTCTTTGCAATACAATATCATCGCACACTAACTTGCATAAAGCCATTGGTCTGTTCCAAATAAGCTGCTTTGGACAGGAAAAATCGCATTGCTCATTTCTGCACTAATCTCTCCTCAGTAAAGTCCATTTTTTAGTTTCCTATCTCCATACCACTGTATCTGTATTTAGGCCGAACTTAGTTTAACAGATACTTCACTCTTTCACATATCAACTACATAAATTGTAGAGATAAACGTGAAAAAACAGTTTTTTTCTATTTCCGACAGTACTATAGCACTACGTACCCTCATTCTTTGAACAAACGTCTGGCCTCTCTTCAGGAAACATTGACAGTTTCCGTAGATATTAATGTCATACTGTATTCATGGACGCATGCTGATGACGTGGTCAGGCTTTTTGGCATTTTTTGAAAATGTTAGGGTTTCTGATACACACTTCCCATGTGTATCAGAAAACATTTTGAAACTTTACTATGGCCCCGAAAGCTATAACTGAAATGAAGCAACTCTTGCGTAAGGGGTTGTATGCAACTCTTGGAAAATGCATGTTCGACTGTACCTAAAAATGTACCTTAAATGTAGACAGCAAGGGAGTGTCAACTGATGGAATGTTGACATCACCATTGCCACCATTTTGTGTTAGTCTTGGAAATAGTTTTTTGTCACCTAGAACTTTCACACACAGAACTAAATAAGAAACAGTTGCAGCTGTTCTTTGTTTCTAGTTCAGATTGGTATATCACGGCCTGGCAAAAATTGGTTTTATTGGAAGCTATATGAGGTTTCACATACAGTCTGTTTGAGTCAGAAACGGACCGATGAATTGCAAATTTTATCATTGTACAAAATTGCCACATAAATATAAATAGTACACATGTTTATCATTTACTAATACCCAACAGCTTTCATATATTTGAAAATTTCCGGACTCCACAAAAAAAGTTCTTTAAGAAACTATCATTAAAATTTTGACACAGTTCACTATTTGTTATGAGGGAGGAGTGCAGAGAAAGGGACAGCCAGGTGTTAGAGAAGCACGTGCACAAGTGCCCACCAAGTTATTGATTCATTAGCCTGTGCTGTGCCGTCTCCATCCTTTCTCGCACACCTGGCTGTCCCTTTCTCTGCACTCCTCCCTCGAGGAAAGAGAACTTTTTTGGTGGAGTCCGGAAAATTTTCAAATATAAGAAAGCTGTTGGGTATTAGTAAATGATAAACATGTGTACTATTTATATTTATGTGGCAATTTTGTACAATGATAAAATTTGCAATTCATCGGTCCGTTTCTGACTCAAACAGACTGTAGAAGTCCAGCATACTACATATTGTTTTGTCAGTGGTTGTTTGTTGCTTAATGCTGCACTCGGCAATACATCAAATACATCAAGTCCTGGTGTCAACATTACCTGTTGTCGAAGTGAGGTGTATATATGACATCTGTGACAGACCAGTCTCAGTTATTTGCCAAAACAGTGAGTGAATGAGTAAAGAGGGCAAAAGATTTGTTAAAGTGGATGACATCAGGTGTTTGTGGAAAAAGTAAGAATGTCATGCCCATAGTTCCTGTTATTCACATGCTTTGCATAAAAATGTTGCCCAACACAGCAAAAAACAGATTGCTGAAAGTCACATGGCCACTTCCTTCAAAGGTCAAAACAATTGGCAAAGGTTTTCCTTATGTGTGGTATTGCAAATCAACAAATGTCAAACACATCCGCTTTAGAGCCTTAGAAACTCAAGGTGCACCTATATAATATCTATACCTACAAATTAAAATGTTTTTTCTTCCAACAAAGCAGTTCCTAAACTAAGCACAAAGGTGATTGATAATCATTTTTATTATTGAACAGATGTTATAATGGTTTTTGAGCTGACAAAGCACACAATCAATCTTCAAACTTGATCTTCTTTCCTTTGAATGCCTGTATGCCGCTCTGTTCCTTCTTCCTCTTACTGGCCTCCCAGGATGGGTGGAGGGACGACTGACCCCCAGACTGCTGCTTCTTGGCTGAAATCAATACAGGAAGCATGTGACGGCCTGATCAGGAACAATTCAATACATTATTGCAGCATATGATGTGTCAAAAATCTGACTATATGATATTGGTTGCAGGGTGAGACACACCCTTGTTTTGAAACAACTCTTTTCTGAAAACACTGGTATGGAATACATTGCTTCCCTTTTTGAAAACAAAAATTGTTTGTTGGTCATACTAACTGTCTGAAAAAAGTCCAGATTCTGCTCCTCTATTCAGAGAACAAAACCTGGTTCCCCCAGAATAAAAAACGGTGGGTCCCCATGTGTATTGTTTTTGACAAACAGAACTTAAACAGGGTTTTACATGATGCATGATTCCTGTGTATTTGACGCAACAATTTTGTAAACAACTCTCAAAATATTATCATACGAGTCAAGCTTGACATAAGTTTTATGGCTGGCCCTCACAATTCAGTTCAATAAAATCGATTTGATAAGCAAAAAATGATATTGTTCGATGATAGTTTGACTTTTATAGAGCTGTCAGATTGTTCCAGAAAACTCAGAGGAGACAGTAATCCTGGCTGTTTGAATTGAACAATGCTGTAGTTTCATTTGGTGGTGTGACATACACAGTTATATACTGAGAATGATTAACACAAAGAAATATGTAATTTTCTGAATAAAATTGATATTTTATACTTATCGTGACTCATGCTCTTTTGCTTGTCTTCTTCTTCTTTCGAACATAGTGGAACACTTGTATCTCCCTAATTGAAGCTCCCTTCAATGTAAAATCACTAATTAGTACTCACCACGAGTTGCCTCCCTCTTCCTTAGCGCGGGAAAGGAGGCACCACCCTCTGGCCTCATGCTTCACTCTCTCCTGATATAGCGAGCCCAACACTTGAATTTACAGGGAAATCCAAAGTGTTATGTGGGGAGGATGGGAGGGCTTACCTCATGAGTCAGGATAAGTATAAAATATCAATTTTATTCAGAAAATTACATATTTACACTTTAATACAGTCCATACGTGAAGTTGGAATGCTTCTGGGTTTCCGTGCGCTTGTTTGGTGTGAGGATGTATTAGTAGATTCGAGGGCTTTGGTAGCTCTAGTGTTGGTTGTCCGATTCCTTGAATTAGAATGGGAACCACATTCTCACTGGCCAGTAGGGAGCGACCAAAATCAGTTGGAGACTCTGTGTTTGTTTGATTTTCTGTAACACTTGTGGGATTAAAGCTGGCCGGCGGAAGCGCTGCAGCGTTAGCGTTGAGGCCTTCCCAGTATATGCTTAGAGAGTCCGTTGCCCGCTTGTGGATCGGGACTGGTGATACGAATGTTGTTAGCTGATTGTTGAAGCGAAAGTGGCTTAATAGATCTACTAGCGAGCTCCTATTTTCTTGATAATCTGTGCAAAGATTTCTGTGTGGAGCATCCATTCTGTCGGTGACGGTAGATGTGGCCGAGAGAGTGCGTCTGCTAGTACATTCTTGGCTCCGGGAATGTGACATGCTCTGACATGTAAGTTGAGATCGTCGATTAGATCGAACAGTTGAAAGCATAAAGTCAATAGGTTCAGTGATCTCGTTGAGCCTTGTTTGTTTACATAAAACGCCACTGTTGAGTTGTCGGTGTGAATCATCAGATGCGCCTTCTGTAGAATGGTGCTCCAATGTAGTATGGCGTTGATTACAGCTTTCATCTCTAGCATGTTTATGTGGAGCTTGCTTTCTTGCTGATTCCATAACCCGGATGCCGTCCGGTTGGCGAGATGAGCTCCCCAACCTTGGAGCGACGCGTCTACATAGAGATGGGTTTTGAATTCCGGCTCTGTTAAATAAATGCCTTTGCAGACATTCGACCTCCTGGTCGACAAAAATGCCACAAGGTTGAATTGGCAGAACTTTGTATTTTGTACATGGCAATGATGTTCTGAAGCTTTCCTGAAAAATTCAGCTTTCTACTATTTTTTTCCAATGTTACCTATTGTTTGTGTCTAATGCTCCTGGGCTACATAGTAGATGAGGTCTGATGCGTTTCGGTAGACTGAATGGCTGTAGGTCGTCGAGATGAGCATTGATGAAGACCTGTAACGGACGTAACTGTAGTCTGCCTCTGACTGTCATGTCTTGGGCTGACGTGAGGAGACCCAACAGACTCTGCCATTGTCGTAGTGGTAGCGGAGAGAGTAAGGCTTGTGGGATGGTCTGTTGGATCTTGAGCCATCGGTCTTCTGGTATGACGATACGGTTCAGTGTCGTGATAAATCGAATGCCTAGAAACTGCAGATCTTGTGTTGGTACTAGGTCCGACTTGAGTAGATTTACTAACCATCCTAGGTGTGTTAGTAGCTTGATGATGAAGTTTAACTGTAGTTTGAGATGCTGTGGATCTTGATCTACTTGTATCCCGTCGTCGAGGTAAAACGCACTTGCGTAGCCCTAGACGATGTAGGTAAGTGACGATAGGTTTCGTTACTCTTGTGAATAACCAGGGGGCCGATGATATTCCAAATGGGAGTACTTTCCATTGATAATGCAGCCCGTCTAGTGTAAACCGCAGGTATTTCCTGGATTCGGGATGTATCGGGATGTGTGGGCATCCTGCAGATCTATGGGACGAATTAGGTGCCGTAATTGAGGTAGATGTATCATGCGAAATGTTGGCGGTTTGTGTAGATAATCCCTGTTGAATGTGCTCATGTTGTAAATGAGTCTGTATTTCTCCTACTGGGGAGTAGAAGCCTGGTTCAATGTTTACTTCATCTAGTACTTCTATGGCCTGCTTGGTTAGGAGAGATGTAACAGCCTCTCTTAACTTTGGTAGTTGTTGAGCCTGGAAGTCGAACTTGTGAGGGTTGACTGTCAGCGGAGGCGTGGCCTGTAGTGGGATACGATATCAGTGTTGAAGAATGTTGGAAACATATGGGTCTTGTAACATTCCCCAGTTCTCCCAGTGCAGTCGAAGGCGTCCACCCACTTGTGACGGTTGTACTGGAATGGCTTCGGGGTGGAAGACTCCAGTCGTTCCGAACCTGTCTTTCATCGTTTATAGCTGCGGGAACCTCTGGGTGCCCTGCCTTTTCCTGATCCTCCTCTGTAGTTGCCATATGGGAAATTTGAAAAGAATCTTTTTCCTCTGGAGCTGGCCATCTTCCTATCCCGTGCTTTCTGTAATCCAGTGAATTTAGATTTCCCTGAATACCTCTGTGAAGTCTGCCTGATGATGCTGGCTAGCGTGTCCATCGACTTTATCATAAGGACTTCTCTAGAATCCTTGGTGACTTCCTTAGAGACTTTGTCTATTCCTCAGTCGAAGATGGATGGCGTAGACCACGGGGCTGTGTAGAGTGGAGCTGTAAACTGCTCACCCCAGCTGCAGGAAACAAGGAGGCCTTGACGACGAGCCAGGGTTAGTGCTGCAGAGACTGATGTGAGATGATCCGTTAGAAACTGCTGGTCCTTCTTTTGCATAAGTAGGGCCGAGTAGACCATTTTGTCATCCCCAGATGTTGAATCTCGAAATCTGGATATAAGAGTCTCATTGATCGTTCTAGATCTATTAAGGCCGGAAAACATTCGGCTTGTCATGGTTTCTATCTGAACCAGCTTGCGATCGTCAATCTTATAGTTCTATTCTTGACATCGTTGATCACTTTGTAGTTGTCATCGATCTCTTGTGCCTTGAAAAAGGGTCCATATTATGAGTTGCAAACTTCTTAGCGTTGAACTGTGGTAAGTGTGCGCTTGGACTTTAGTGGCTTTATGGAAGGCTGTGTCCAGATTCTGTGGGACCATAGCAATCGGGTCGATCGGGGGTAGGGTGATGTTGTCTGCATCGTTCTCCCTCATCACGTAAGTGTGTGCCGGATTACCGTTCTTAGACGGTGAGGCTAGGTCTAGGTTATTCACCATCCAATAGCATATCTCAGCGTCTGAGAATATGATGCCTCCATCATCTTCTATAACGGGATGACTTATAAGAGGTTCATGCTCTTCCGATGGTGACCTGTATGGATCTATCTCTGTGCAGGACGACGACACCGGAGACCTGACTGGGACTTCCGTGAAGACTTATGCGGCGAACGGTGTGTTGACCTGCAAAGCGATCGGCAAGGTGGACGATGAGGTGATCGGCGTGGAGAACGGTGAGGAGATCGTCTTGGTGAACGAGCTGACGAGCTGTGTCTAAATGGTGACCTTCGCGGCGATCTATGTGGCGAACGTTGATAGCTCCGCGAAGCTCTTGGAGAATCCCTCGATGGCCTTCTAGACGAAGATGATTTGGAGCCTGTAACTGGTGCCCTTCGCGAAGCTTCGGGAGACTGGTCCGGGAAGCTTCATCTCAGTCCGGTCCTGAGGGGAGCGAGCGACTTGATGATCTTTTCTTCGTCCCTCGCGAAGACACGGTCGTTTCTTGTGGCGTAGATGGGTATGATGATCGGCTGATCATCATACAGGCCCAGTGACCGGGGTTCTCAGGCTTGGGCGGGAACAATCTCGGCTGAGAAGGTTCTAGACTTCGTTGATTTCCCCTTGGAGGTAGACGCTGCCCTGGGGGTACGGAGTCTGCGTTGAGATGATGTCGAAACCCTCTTAGACTTTGGCTGCGACGACGGGATGTCTGGGGATGCAGGACACTTCATTGAGACGGCGGACTGCGTCCCGCGCCTCTCCTCCGAGGGTAACTCTAGCGGAACACCAGATGGGAGGGGGTCATCTGACAGCAGCTGACTGGCTAGGGGTTCCGATGTATCGGCCATGGCTAAACCTTGTTTGCGTGACCTATCTGCTGCACGTCTCAAGACGCAAAGATAATATTTATTAAATGCAGAATTAGACAGATTAATACAATAACTGCAACGTGAAGAAAACGCACATGGCGTAGTACAGCTAGGGCATATTAAATGCGGGTCAGCAGCAGAAAAACGTAATCTACAAATAGTATAGATTTTCATCAACGTAAACTAGCTGAACAAACACGGCGTCCCGTGAATAAACAGCAGAAAATACGATAATTATCAATACATAATTGCAGAAGGATACAAGCTACACCTCTATAGAAGACTATAAGAGGTAATACACTAAGAATAATCAAAGGATATAGTGTGTAAGGAGACACAGGCGCTCTCACATCCTGCTCACTGGGCGAAGAAGGAGAGAGTGAAGCATGAGGCCAGAGGGTGGTGCCTCCTTTCCCTCGCTAAGGAAGAGGGAGGCAACTCGTGGTGAGTACTAATTAGTGATTTTACATTGAAGGGAGCTTCAATTAGGGAGATACAAGTGTTCCACTATGTTCGTAAGAAGAAGAAGACAAGCAAAAGAGCATGAGTCAGGATAAGGAAAAATATTAAAATTTTCATGACTCCCAAATATTGAAAATGACTCCCAAAAATAAATAGTCACCATGACTCCCATTTTTAAAAGTCTGTGTAAAACCCTGCTTAAAGTAGGCTTTTAATTGGTTCATTAACTGGATCAGTTGTAGATCCAAAAGTGTGCTGCCGACAAGGGCTAAGAGTTGGCTTATGACTTGTGGGTCCATCAGTGTTCTGCCTTGAACAAACAATATGCTTCTCGTTACTATTGCACATAAACTATCATAGTGCAAGGAATTTTGTACATCCACGGGTTTTAATTTCAAAATGAGTACCCTTATTATTTTGTTCACAATTGCTGTATGGAAGTTAGATTTGTCTTCAATTGTTAATATTGCATTCATATTATATTCACAACAATAATGTTAATGTAACCTCAAGCATTAAAGTCTACTCCTCTATTGGATCTCTCATCAATATTAACCCCAAACTAACATGCCTAAATACACTTGTCAGGCAAATTATGAAAAGAACTATATAATTATTCTGTTAAAAAATTTGGATGTTTAAAATTTCCCAAAATTCAGATATTATTATCAGATGTCATGGAATTATAAAATTACATTTTTATCCAATAACATGAAATCATCTATTACAGCTTCAGTGTTTATTGGTCATGCTTTTAATACAAGACTATGCTTACCTTTTTAATACACACTTTAAAATAATCCTAATTTCTAACCAAGTATATTTCTACCAGTTTGCCGAAAAGTGTAGCATGTTTGGAATCCAAGATAAAACCTTGTGAAGTATAAGGTGAGCTAGAAAGACTTGTTTTCCTGATGGCTGACTACAAATCAGCTGAGTGAGAGAGTGAGCATGTAAGGGTTACAGCAGAACAGCAAACTACAGGTGGTGATAGCGATCTATTGTAGTATGCCTTGAGCATCACTGAATGACAGTCCAGGGTTTATGGTGAATATCTGTCTGAAACCAAACCAATCACCATTGACACCAGGGCAGCAAGAACATGAACAACTCACCTTCTTGTTTTCCTGGCGACTTCAAGTCAGTGCTAGTGTATGAGTTACCTCCCCTGCCTCTAGAGCTGCAAATAAATTTGATAGAATAATAGCTCAAGCAAACATTAACAAAATCACAATGTTCACTTAAAATGCTTAGATTATAAACATCAGACATGTCAACAGAAAGCAACAAGTTGTTGTCCTGATACCAGACATCATTACACTGACAAATCATGAATATCTTCATCATGAACATAATGTACCAAGGATTTATCCAATATTTCAAACTTTTGCTGTAATTTGTCATGAAGGACAAGTCACTTTCACCATGTCTTTAAAGCCACATTATTAGTCATCACCTTGATTATCATACAACATGAATTAGCAAATTTGAAATTCCAATTTGGGAAATTTTACTGACATCTACAACACACATGAGGACTCAGAGTCTGAGCAGGTCTAGATAAATCCCTCAATGCCTACTGATAGAGATGATGACAATAGTTCCTTCAAATATGACCTAGTAATTATGTTCAGGTAGCACTACAAAATGTAATAAGGCGGAAATGAAATTGGCAAATTATCACTCATGACAATATGTTAAGCATGTTGCCTAGAAAATATTGTCCTTCCATAAAAAAAATATATCCCAATTAATTGCACCTTGTTTACTTTCTCCCCAACCTTCCCTACAAAAAACTATTCAAATATGTGATGTTTTGTTAAAAGTACCAATAAAACACTATGAATACAGCGGTGTACATCTGCACATGTAATTACAACACACTAGTACTACTAGTACTTCACCATCTGTCAACCGGTGAAGGTCCAGGTTAGAATGAGTCTTCAGTAACCCATGCTTGTCGTAAGAGGCAACTAACGGGATCGGGTTGTCAGACTCGCTGACTTATTTGACACGTCATCGGTTCCCAGTTGTGCAGATCGATGCTCATGCTGTTGATCACTGGATTGTCTGGTCCAGACTCGATTATTTACAGACAGCCACCATATAGCTGGAATATTGCTGAGTGTGGTGTAAAACTAAACTCACTCACTCACCATCTGTCACAGACTAGGATGGGCCTACTCAAGTCTGATCTCAGCATGTGATGAATAATATTCCATGAAAAAATCCACAATTATTGCAATAAGTCTTTTAAATAAAACCACTAGAGATTTCCTGATGATGCTTTGGGCACGGATGTTTTTTTTCTAATAATGGTAATGTGCATGATGATTAACATAATAAACAGGTTAAATATATATTTTACATATCAATGCCAACTAGCAAATATGGTCTGTGAAATAGATTAAATATCTTCAATGTATACCAATTACATGTAAGAATGAAATAAATTACCTCTGATTATCAAAGTTGTGTCTGTCTTTTTCTTGGTTAGATCCTTGACCTCTGAAACTTGACCCTGATCCCCTACTGCTACCCTTGAATTTTTGGAATTTGTCTCTCTGAAAGTCTGATCTGTCTTTATCACTATATCCTCCTCGGTAATTACCACCTCCTCTGTAATTACTGACTCCACCTCGAAAATCACCACGTCCACCTTGAATATTGCCACGTCCACCTCGAAAATCACCTCCTCCTCCTCGAAAATCACCATGTCCTCCCCGAAATTCACGTCCTTTGAAACTATGTCCCCTGACCCCAGACCCACGTCCACGACCTTGACCCCTGTCTGACCAACCCCCCTTTTCAACTGTTTTTTATGAGCCAGTGTACCAATAAATGTAGTTTCAAAAGCACTTGGACCTTCCCCTTCATCTTCACTACTGTTGTCCTGAGAAGATGCTTCATCCTGTTCCTCATCCTCACCATCAGATTCATCATCACTGCCAGCAAAGAAAGCATCTCGGGTTTTCTTTACTTCCGGAGACAAAAGAATCCCGGGAACATCTTCAGAGAACTTTTTCTCTTTCAAGTCCTCATCATTTTCTAAATCTTCTAGATTAATTTTTTTAACAACCATAATTTTATTTTTTCCTTTCTGTTTGGCATGTTTAGATGATTTGGTTTTTTTCTGTTTGTTTTCATTTTTCCTTTGATTTAAATCAGTGAGGATATCAGATTCATTAAGCTCTTCCTCTGTCATATCTTCCTCCAAGTCAGAATCATCACCACTGGAGTCTGCAGGTAACATTTCTTTTATGATTTTAGACTTTAATTTGGCATTCTTTGAAGATTTCCTTATGACTTCTTTCACTTCATCTCCACCAGATGACTGTCCAGAGTCAGACTCTGACTCACTGTCTCCATCCTTTGATGAAAACATCTGCTGCAGTATCTCAAGCTTTAGACCTCCTTTCTTCTTGTTCCCATCCTTTTCACTTCCTTCCTTCCTCTGATTCTCCCTGTCAAAAGAAGCATCTTGCAAGGAGGACTTCTTGGGAGACTGTCCCTGAGTAGTCCTCTGTTCAGTTTCATCACTGTCCCCACTATCACTGTCATCCCAAGTTTTCATCGGTTCCTTCTCTACACCACTAAACCTTTCCTTTTTCACACTGCCTCCTTGGGTCACCTTAGTCCTGTCAGCTTCTTCTCTGTCAAGTTCTTCACTATCACTTCCTTCACTGTTAATTTCGTCTTCACTATCACCATCTGATGATGTCATGTTCCCAGAACTACCATCACTTTCAGCCTCATTTTTCACAAGATTCTTTTTCTGTTTGCCCTTCCCCACCTGCCCAGATTTTTTAACTTTTTCAATGTCCACTTTCTTTTTCTCGAGCCTGTTATCTAGATAAGCCTCCATCATGGCCTCCCTGGCTTTGATGTTTGTGTCCACTTTTTCGGCAGTGGATCTATTCTTCTTCTTCTTGTATCGTCTGCCACTCTGCTTCATCAGGAGGAAGGCGGAAAGAGATTTCCAGTCAGGGTGGGAGTCTCTGAACCTGGTTACCTCTTTCTGTATGACTTCATTCTCTGAGACACGAGTCAGAGCTCGAGACTGGATGGATGAATTGTCCTGCTGGAGACAAGCATGAAATACTGGGTGAGTGTGCAGATGTATACTTGAAAGTTTCCTTTAAGACTACTGACAGATAACTACATTTGGAAACTTTCCTGTCAACAGATAACTGACATTCTTGTATCACTTTTAGAAAGTGTTAGAAATTGTGACGTTTAAAACATTTCTAAAAAAACTAATAAATTAATTTCATTGATTAAGCCAACAAGTAAATCTGTTCTGTTCCTATCAATAAAATTAAATTTCTTAAAATTGAAATAGTTTTACAGAGACTGAAAAATAGTACAGATATTAAAACAAACATATATAATCATTGTACATTTCTAATGTTCACACGTTTGACCTGATACAAGTTGCATGGAATATCAGACTACCTTGCAGAGTTCAACAAAAGATATGGTGTTGCCAATTGCAAACTTGGAGATCTTGTCAGCTTTCAGGTGCTGCAAAGAGAAATCCTACTTCCAAAATACTGTTATAACACAAAACCATGCCACATCTTATGCTTCACTGAACATCTGCTACTGTAGATAGGACTTAAATAACATCATGCAAATCTGTCCAATGGAATTTCAAGACGGTTGCCATGATAATTGAAGACTGTATAGAATCAAAAGTATCAGTTTAAAACTTGTCAAATGATTTTAAATGTTATAAAGTCATTAACTTCAATGTACAGGCACAAAAAGCAAACTACGGTGACACACACTGTATTCTAAAACACACATGATACACATTACTGTGTACATATCCCTCCAAAATTAAAAATAGAACATGTTTCATGAAATGTAAAAACTAATTTCAAACCTGTCAACCAAGCATTTTGGTATGCGTATTAGTTAGAATAATATATCCTACTGCTGTGTTTGTTGCACGGAGCAATATTCTACCCACAGCCTGAAAATATTCAAGTCTGGACCCAACAAACCTAGGACCAATTATAAGCTATGATCAACTCAGTTAGGATACATAGACATCAAGTCTGACCATCTATTCCCATAGTTGTTTCTTTAAACTAACATCGGTTGAAGCGTTTACTTGTCTAACCCAGAATACACACAACATGCTTTCCTATCTGACCTTAATGGCATGGATCTCCTCCACCAGACGCTCAGCTTTCCTCTTGTTCTTCTCCAGCATCACAGGAGTGCCCCTGACACACATCATACATCATATATCTCATATACATTAGATATGTACATATGCAGGAACACTTACAAATAATCTACAATACAAGACAAAGGGAGATAACTTTCAGTAAAGTTTGTGTAACAAGCTCAAGGGACAGAACTCATTATCATGAGCAGAATTACCTGTCTTATTGACTTGTCTAAATAACAATGTCATATTGAAAATAGTATTAATCCTTTATGGACAATTTTTTTAAGCACAAAATAGGTTGAATGAGTCAGAAAAGTGAGTGAGTGAGTGTGGTTTCATGCCGCTTTTAACAATATTCCAGTAACATCACGGCAGGGGACACCAGGAGTCAGAAAAGACAACACATGGGTAAACATGGTAAATATGGCATAAAACATTTCATTTTTGATGAAAATAGGTTTATTCATGATGACAAAATTAGCATGTATTATCCAAAAAATATATAATTCAACAGCTTTACTTTGGCAACCTTGGTACCCGTTGAGTGAATAATGGTAAAGAAGGTAATAAAAGACACTATCCTGGTGCCTCCATGCAGGTGTTAACAGGATAAAGAGCACCTACAACTGCTGTCTTAGTGTGTGAGTAGGCAAAGAGAAGGTGCACTTGTTCCTTCATGTTTGTTTCAAATAATTTAGTACCATTTAATACTGCTAAATCTGAGAGTGATATCACTTTTATGCCATGAATTTATCATGAGTATTGATTATTTTGGAGTATACATAGCCCATGTATTTTGAATTCCCACTGCAGTATTTGGCAATGGCATACAAATTATTTGTAATTGCAAATAACATTTTGAGTCTTGTGATAGGATTCATATAACAGATCTTTTTGATCCAAGTTCGGACACCTTGTCCACATAACCAGTGAGTGAGTTCAGTTTTACGCCACACTCAGCAATATTCCAATTTTCAGCTATATGGCGGCAGTCTGTAAATAATCAAGTCTGAACCAGACAATCCAGTGATCAACAGCATGAGCATCGATCTGTGCAATTGGGAACCAATGACATGTATCAAACAAGCCAGCGAGCCTGTCCACCCGATCCCATTAGTCACCTCTTACGAGAAGCATGGGTTACTGAAGGTCATTCTAACCCGGACCTTCACAGGTCCACATAACCAAAGAAACCTGTAAGCAATGTGCCAAGGTGCATCATCTGTGCATCATCTGTGTGACAACTCCAGGCCACACTACACCAGTAATACTGAGGAATCTACTGGGGAGAAGTTCCCTTATAGTAACATAACAATGAACAAGATAAAAAAGAATTTATTGAGTCCTACTTTTTCTTCTTGAGAGAATCGATACTGCGGACTAGTCTTCGGATGACACGAACCTTCGCTTGTTTGACACGTTTCCTCATCGTTACAATCTGAAACAAATAAAATATTTCAATGAAATTCAATGTAAGCATCACATTAACTTGTTTGGTTTAAAACATATACTCAAAATAATACAGGTCAAAGTGAGCACGGTGAATGACAAAAATATTGTTTTCTATTGATATTGTTTTGATGATTTTATTGAGCTTATTTCATAACTATCTCCACAATTCACTGGAACCTGACAACTTCTTAAAACATCCTGGCATCTTCATGATCAATATGATGACATACTCAAAACTACATGCAAATCTGAAAATATAACTGAAAACATAACATTTATTGACATTGTAAAACAGCACAAAATTTGTTTGCCAAGCTCATCTTCAAGCTGACATTCCTCATGTGATGTAAATTGACATCTGTACATTGATGCACATCATGCCACATGATCGTCTACACCTCTTAGCAATTAATAATGTTTACATGCAAATGTGCTTGTAATTATATCAGAAAACCACGTAAATAACAGGCCTGATCGGTGTCAAGTCCATTGTTGCTGTGATCATACTATATTATGAACATATAGGTGCGAAACTTCAAAGACATCCACGGGTACGGATGATCAGCTGTTAACACAACGTTCAACTCACGTTGTTGTTCAGAGCCATCAAGTCTATTGAGGCCGTTTTGGCCACATCTAAACTTCTTAATTTGTCGGTCGACATGATGACCTAGTTTTACCAACAGAAATCACGAAAACAGTTAATATTTCAGGCTCGTCTCATTCTGCTCAACATTTCTTGAGAGGACCCATGCTTTTGCCATAAACGAAACCTGAAGCCAACAACCGTTCGCTGATATTGCGACATCCCGCGGGACACAACTTAGTGATAATAAATACTACGAAATATTTTGAAGTGTGTTTACGTGAAACAATGACAGTATTTTAAAACTCACAACTATTACATATGGACTTGTAATTAATATTAAAAACAACGCGTAATCTATGTAGGGGAGACAACTCTTTTAGCTTTAGCGAATCTGTCGTTCGAAGCATTCGTTTGAGTGATCGGTTGGTACAACCGGATCCGTTTCTAACCAAAATCAAATTGAAAGGAAAAATCGTTTCAAACTGTTTTATTTGACAATGTTTCTTTTTTTCTCCCTGTGATAACTGTGATACTATTTATTCAGTATTTGTATCTGTGTAATATGTTCCTAATATTATTACCAAGGCCTCAGTTCGATTGTTGCCCTAAACAATCTTAGATTTAGGGTGTTGGAGGACAATAGTTCTGATCATATCGTCTCAGTGTTGAGATCGTTCTGTGGAAATGGAACCAGTATTCATTTGGTCAGTGTATGCTACCTCCTATAGTTTAACATTGGTTGTGACCCGTGAAGGTCCGGGTTAGAATGAGTCTTCAGTACCTCATGCTTGTCGTAAGAGGCGACTGACGGGATCGGGTGGTCAGGCTCGCTGGCTTGTTACAAGTCATCGATTCCCAATTGCACAGGACATTGCTCATGCTGTTGATCACTGGATTGTCTGGTCCAGACTCAACTATTTACAGACCGCCGCCATATAGCTGGAATATTGCTGAGTGCGGCGTAAAACTAAACTCCCTCACTCACTAACATTGGCTGATAAAAGTCTTAGCACTGAGATTGCTGTGTGCTATGGGGCCCTACTTATATTTGCCCGGTTGTTGGTGCAAAGATTAAGTGTAGATCTTGGTACAGCAAAGCTCTAAATGTAGCATGTCACTAATCATTTCTCTGTCCATGTTTGCTTTATCATCAGCATCAGCATCAGCACAATAATCTATTATCCACCTTGATTATGACATATACCAATAAGTTGGTATTAAATTCACCACACAAAAAAACATTTTTCATGGTAAATACTCAATGTGTATTATACTTTTTCCATCCCACAAGAATGTGGCCACAAATGTCTTTAGGGAACAGTAAGAGACCGCTGCATCAGGATCGCTGACAGTTGGTTGACATGTCATCGTATCCCAATTGCGTACATCAATGTTCATGCTGCTGATTACTGGATTGTCTGGTCCAGACTGAATTATTTACAAACTGTCGCCATATAGCTGGAATATTGCGGAGTAAAACTAAACTCACTCACTCTTAGGGGATCTGGTTGTTTTTAACATCTTGGCTCCAGGAGACCAAGTGTCTCCACTCCATCATTGTTGTTTGATGTCAGGATCTTTGAGATGGATCCTGACAACTCCCGGTCTGTATGCAATGACCTATTTAACTTTCATTTCTGGATAACTGACAGTACACTTGTAATACTTGGTGTGTGAAATCTGACATACATATAAGCAAACTTGTCTTTTAGAGAGAAAGAGTTCGAACGCATAGTTTCATGCTACTGTCAACACAAAACAGTAAACGACAAACATGTTTATGTTTACCACTAACACCTCTGTTGGCAACAAAATGCAAACAATAAAACAACATAGTCCCAGTACTTGTAAATATATATTTATTTACATAACAAAACATTCATTTTCCATCAACCAACATTCATTCAATATTTAACCACACAAAGTTAAAGAAATTGCCGTAAATAGCAGGGTGCAACACAATCACCAGTCAAGACTTGAGAAAAAATATAAATACTACTATTCATTTCTCAACTAGTAATGTGAAAACAAAGATTTAAAATGTACAACTCCAAGGTATTTCATATAAGACTTTCCCATAATTAACCCCTCAGTCTAACCTTGCTTCAAGATGACCAACAAATTCCTCCTCTACCCCTTGGTAGCAGCTGGCACCCCACAAGTGTGACTTTGAAGTCTTTACCACCTGAACTATTTGCCTGTCATCAATGTGTTTATTGTTTTAATTATGGTCTTCACTGTCAATGAGTAGTGCCAGGAATTAAGCAATGTAAGACTATTCCCCACACCGACAAAGAATTAATCTTGTAAATCAGATATCAGGAGTCAATGAAGGACTTGAGAATATAAACAACTTCTGCGTACAAGGAAAACACCTATAGGCGGCAGAGATGTAAAACTAAAGATACTGATGATACTCAATCGTTCATTTGATCACCAGTGACTTACATCTGTATAACATAGTTATCACACCAAGAAGTATCAGTACCACTGAATGTACTCTATTATACAAAGAACTTTCTGTACTGATCGATATCTTGATACTGTGTCCGTCTGCCTGTGTTTTCTGTTTGTGACTTTTTTAACATCGATCTCTGTACACTTTTGCAAATCCATGTAGTGTCTCAAATTCTGTATCACCATTTCATTCCCTGAGTAATGTTGAGGAACTATGAAACGTTATATCATCCCCGTCCCCGAACTTTTACATATTTCAGGCCAACAGTTCCTCTTTCTCTTTTGTTGAGTTAACTAAAAATCTTATTCCATGCACATTAATGACAAACGGCCAACGCATAATCTTTTAATCTTCTTGCTTCTAAACCAGTCTAAAAATCATTTTTCTTTTCCACTCCAGTCAAATCCAAACAGGTTCCTGAAAATAGATCCGGTTTCATTGTAGTCACTCTTTGGAATGATCATGGAATCCCTTGAATCTGTCGGTTGTCTCCCTTTCTTCTTCCACTGTGTATCAAACGATTTCAGATCATCTGTAAAAGAAAGTCATATGTTAGAGAATGTGGGTCTTTGCTGTCAGAGATATGAATCACGTCATATCACCTGTTTTCAGACAATGGTTATGTATTAGTCCATAATTTCCCTTTCATGTCTTAGAAGTGAAAACAGACTGCATTCACAACAGGTCCAGCTACTCAAAACAGGGTGTGCTCGTGTCCTTTTGGCTCAAAATGTTTGACAACGTAACTCAGCATAGTGACACCTATGTAACCCTCCCAAGACACAGTAGAGGGGATTAGGTATCACTATGAGAAGCTTCCCGACAGAACTTAGAAGAGGCATGATGTATTGACAGGCCTAAAACATCAATTTCATACCCACTACAGTCTGACTCTCACAGTCCCTGAACTACATTATTTTCCCCTGCCAAGCCCTCCCTGCAGTGCCAAAGCCCTAAATAAAGCAAGTCTAGACACAGGTTCACAACTTTCAATAATATTTACCATCATCCATATTTTTCATGGTCTGGTTCTCTTCAACAACACCAAATTCATCCTTCTTGGTCTGCATCGTGTGAGACTTGTCCCCAAGTTGCCGAGTGACAGTTGTTTCTTCATTCCCATCAGAGTCTATCACAGTCTTCCTTTGTTCAAGTTTCTAGAGGGTGTAAAATTGACACTAAGGTTACTCTGTAATATGATGCGCACAACAAGATCATGAACAGGTGGTAAAACAAATGTTGTGTACAGACTTTTCATTTGCCCAGAAATACAGTCCATTCACTTCAGTTTCATGATAATATTCTAATCTCTCTTGTCACTATACAGAAGCCTGAGGCACAGTTTACACAACACTGCTGGGTGCTGTTGTACAAACTACCTTAGTACTAAGACTGTCTTAAGTCTTTGTTAATGTATGGAATTTATGATCATTGGTTTAGTGGATAGAGTGTCTGCCAGGAGAGCAGAAGGCTGGTGATGCGTGGATGAGTCACTAAACAGTGGTACTTGATGTTACCCTGACACTTGACATTAGACTGACTGACTGAGTTTGGTTTTTACGCCGCTTTTAGCAATATTCCAGCAACATCCCGGCGGGGGACACCAGAAATGGGCATCACACATTGTGCCAATGTGGGGATTCGAACCCGGGTCTTTGGGCGTGACGAGCCAACGCTTTAACCACTAGACGACCCCACCGTCCCCTTCACATTAGAGATATAACATGGACTAGTCAGCTCGGCATGTATACTGTCTTCAGTGTTAAACTTAAACTACTGCAAGCAAGTCATCATGGGCCATTAGTAAAGTATCACTTCTGAGTAATCCTGTTAAAATGCTCTTTAAGACAGGTTCTTTGCACATTGAGAATATTGAGAAGATAAATGTCATACCCCATCAGCTCCTCTTATGGTTGTTATGGAAACACTACCATGGTGGGAGAACATTCCAGGGCCGTGGGGAAACATCTCTCTTCTTTCTGGTTGCATGGGTTTTAGGATTTTGGACAGGTCCTTGCCTTCTACCTCACTGTCCAGATCTAGACAAGACAACCACACACTGATAAACAGAACATTTAGTGCATGTAGTTGTTTAGGTGAAACTCAACTGAAATGCGAAGTAACCTAGCTGGTAGAGTTCTACAACATGTTAACAGCATGCTAAGGGACATCTACTTACATTCACTGATAGCAGAGCCAACAGAGAAGAATGGGCTATAATATTTGAAAATACATGTGAATACTAACTCACCCCTCCCAACCTCCCACAACTGCCCACCACAGAACTAGCTTCATAAACAAAGTTGAAAGCTATTAATGATAGTGTAAAACATGGAACAGAACCTGGGTATTCTGCATGATGAACCATTAACATTAACCATTATGACACCTTAAATTTAATATACATAGAGCTAGATTATTATTTGTCAATCTTCAGCTGTTGAAGATTACACATAGTGTATTTTCCAATAAAACCTCAATATCAATTGTTACTATTTTAATTTGAGTTAAAATGTTGAAAGCTGCCAAATACAAAGGATGGCAAACCTCTGTCCACTTTTTCCTCTTGCTGTATTTGACCAAATCGGGGGATGGTGAAAAATCTCCCAAACTGAAAACGAAAACATTTATGAGATTATACACAGACATTGACAACAGTTATCTAATCATACATGTAGATTATTGAAACAGATCACCTTTGTCTTGTATTTTTAGACACTCGGCAACATTCCAGCAATATCACAGCATCCCATACCTATACAAGTCTGACAAACCAGAGACAAAGTAGCTAGAACAATAGCCCCAGTCACTGAAACACAAGGATGCTGAATCACCGAAGTGACAATGCCTTACCTTATTTTTTAAAGACCAGCATATGATACTGAGGGCCTATTCTGACCTGGAATCTCCAAAGTGTTGATCATTCAAGCTTTAAATATATAACAAATGACTTTCTCTTCTTACAGTTATAAGGGCAGTGAGGTATAGTGTTTGGGAATTGGTTGAAATCTCACAATTGATGACTGCTTCATTACCAATGAACAATCATCGAAAAAAATTGGTTAGCGTCATTTTTCAGTTTTTCTGATCCAGGTTGTTATTGCAGAAAAGTATAACATGATGCAACTTGCTACTTTAAAGTGATGACTAATATATCATGAACATAAACTTCCTGAAGTCTTAGAGAAATATTCAGTCATGACTTTTCAGCAAGTGAAGTGAGTTTTCTAAGAATTAAACATGTTTTCAGGCCTTGACAACTTCTAAGATATGTTCCATTGTCAAGTGTTTCAAACACTAAAACAGTAATTCCAAAATCGATTATGAGAAAATGTGCTCGATTGCTTGGTCGTTTGGTCACTGCGATCAATCTTCGATTATTTCAATTAATCGGAACACCACTAGTGAGGTAGCCTCATGTTTAACGCATTTGCTCATCATGCATAAGGAACACGTTCGATTCCCCACGGGTACAATGTGGAAAGCCCATTTCTAGAGTCCCTGCCCTGATATTGCTGGAATATTGCTAAAAACAGTGAGAAATCCAATGAACTCACTCAGTTATAGGCATGATAGGATCAGTGAGTGACTGAGTTCTGTATTACACCACTTTTGTAACTTCAGTCTCATCATTGTATTTCAGCTTAATGTCGGGTTAGTGGATAGAATGTCTGCCAAGGGTTGTATGATGGAGGTTAAAAGATGGTAGTTGTCGTTACCCTGCCTGGAGCATTATTGGAAGAAAACAAGAACTGGTTTTCTTCAACACAGCATATTGTACATCCATCCACTCATGCACACACATCGCTAAGTACCGTAAGCAACATTTTTGAAAGTAACGTTAAAACCCTTTCCACCTCATTTCACCTTCATGTAGCCAGCAAGCTGGATATTAAGCAGGTGTTAAATGCTTTTCACAGTGATAAAAGCCAAAAGCACATGTATGGCGTTGATAAAAATGGAAACATAACCAGGATTTGCACCTACAATCATAAGTTCCTGGTACGCCTAAGGGACACAACTCTACTTATGACAGGGTCACCTGTGCATCCATAAACACAAGGAAGTAAGAGTGGACTGACCACGTTCAAGTTCAACTGGGAGAAGTACATACCAGAGATGGAACATCCTGCCTCGGTCGGCCTTCAGGAGATGGACTAACTGGGCTTCTCTCTGACTGGTCTGGCTTCAGCATCTTATCTCGTGGCTTCTCTGTCACAGCTGGGACACTGGGCTCACCTGGCACCACTAGTAGCAACAAATGGGGAAGGAAAGTTTAACTCAAGCTTTATTCTCACGCGGCATCTAAACTTACTTCAGCTCTACATGCACAAATATGTATGACACTCAAATAATGTTTTGGGTTATTTGTTTAAAAGATTTACCATTAGCAGCTAAAATGGCCAGTATAGATATTATTTACAAACCTGAGTCACTTTTATTAAACTCAATGAGAATATATGATAGGCCTATTTCACCTAAAATCTACTTCCAGATCGTAAAGTTGTTAGTAATATGCAAAATATCTAAAGGATATGTTTTTTCTTGCATTCAGACACTGCAATGAATGTGACTCAGCGTTTGAATACTGCAGACCAGGACCTTACAAGTATGAAATATATGCTGAACACAAACTCAATCTACCCTAGACGTATTTTGATTGGCATGATGAGTGAAGTACTGATGCCAAGAAAAATATGTCAGCACACTGACTGAAGCTTACATAAAATCTCAGTATCAGTCTAGCAACAAGCAATCAATATCCCTTCCTACATGCATCATGTTTATATGATTTCTATCAGTTTTCTGCTACCTGTGATAATAACTACTCATTTTAAATTAGGCTAGTTACAATTACTTTTCCTCAAAACTTCTTAGATAAAGGATTTTTGGAAGAAGGAATTACTTATGAACATCAACAGATGGTCAGTCACAGCAACTGAACCATGTCTGATTCGGAATGTCTGCTCTTATTTGTATTTTGCCACAGATCAATATTCAATATCAATATCAATATTGCAGTGACAGAGTGTTAACCTGTAAATAATCAACTACAGGCCATATAAACAGGTAGTTTAGAGCCTGATCCATGTCTCATGTCATCAAGGACATTGATTCTCAATCAGCCAATCACAATCACCCTGAACACTGGTTCCATTCAGCCTGAAGCCATCAATAGAAAGCAACTGTAATGGTAACTATAAAACTCAAAATCAGTCAACGTAGAAATCAATTTAATATGTTTATTGAAAACTAGGTGGCCTACAATTTCATGGTACCTGAAGGAAAGTCGACTGCTCCAAACTGTTTGAACATTTCCTCCATCTGCTGATGGAGGCTGTCCATCTGCTTCTGCATTTCGTCATGGAAGTGATGGAACATGTGGTCAGTGTCGCTACCATCATCATATTCACCAAATTCATCACCATCGTCATCGAAGAATCTGTACAAATAAATATGATTGACTATCAAATGATGTCACTTTTAACCTTCACTTTTAACTTTAAGGGAAGAGACTGTGAACATGGTGAAAGTCAAACAATCCAGTCAGATAAACTTGGGTCATAAGAAGGGCTAGCTATTGATCACAGAGATCAATAATCACCAACCAAATATCAATCAATCATCAATAAATATCAGTAGCTTTGAGCACAAATGCAAAGAAAACCCAATTCACTGGTCAGAGGTGAGCTGTTTTTGCATTGATTATGTAAAAACAGCGTTCTGAACATAATTTAGATTCAGCCTTATATAGAGTCCTAACTTTGTGTATTGTATGTGTAATAAAAAATATCATTTCATCACAATAGTTTATGTAACATTGATCAATGACATAAATTTCATACTGATAATCGTAAATAAATCTTCCCATATACAATATTTTCGATAACCAAATTTTTTAGTCAGCCCAATTTATAAGGCATCATAAGTTTTGTCTTCAGGTCCATCAAATGCTCTATTCTAAATGCCAATGAAAGTCATCTTTTCTGACTGTCTGATCCATCTGGTCACATTTAATGACCAGCATAGGTGAGGTGAGGTGAAATTGGGTTAACGTCGTGCTTGAGAATATTTCCCTCATATGACGACGTGCGTGCGTGTGTATGTGTATGTGCGGCTGCTTGTACTAGCCCAGACTGAAGCTGGTTTATGGTGCTAGCCCACTGAGATACCATGCCGCAGTGAAGCATGAATACCCCACTCAGACACATTATACTGACTCCGAGCTGACCAGTCCTTGTTGTACCTATTAATGCCGAGTGCCTTTTAACGTCTTTTGGTATGATGCGGTCGGGGATCGAACCCGCGTCCTTCCGCTATCCTGGCGGACGCTCTAACCACTACACCACGGAGGCGGTACCAGCATAGGTGGATGGGGGCCATTTTTAACATCAAGTGATAATAGTAATAGTCAAAATGGCCTTTTGCTGAACTGTGTCCACTCCATATACATGTCCTTGGTAATATTTGCTATTGTTGATTATGTACTGGTATATGTAAGGGGAAAAGGCTCTTATCTGAGATATTCAAAGATGACATTCATAACAATAAAACCCATGAAGATCAGGGTTAGAACTGATCTTCAGCAACCCATGCTTGTTGTAAGAGGTGACTAACAGGATCAAGTGGTCAGGTTTGCTGACTTGGTTGACAACTGTCATCATGTCCTCCTGTCATAGAGCTGGAATAGTGCTGAGTTCAGCGTTTAACAACAAACTAACAAACATAAGAATAACAATACTTAATCTGCTGCGATTTGATATAATATCACGGTAGGGAAGCCAGAAATGGGCTTCACACTTTACACCCATGTAGGAAAACAAGCCCACCTCTTCAATGTAATGAGCGAACGCTTTTACCACTCTGCTACCCCACCACCCCTCTGTCGATAATGAAAGTATGTACACAAAAGGTCAGAAAACTAGACAGAAATCATGTATGAGATTATATTTCAAGCATAAAGGAACAGGAGAGATTTAAATTATTGTTCTTGTTGAAAATGACATGATATATTTTGAAGAACATAACCTTGCACGGAGTGCTTTTTCTTATGCTTTTTCAAGTTGGCTCATGAAGTAACTGTACTACATGATTTCATTGTGTGTTGAAAAAGAAATTAAAAAATAAACTTAAAAACAATGTTTCAGCACATTTCCAGTTCTAAATTCAAGTTTCCATGAAATATTCTATGTTGAACCCCCTAAACACAAGCAAAGAAACTTGTTCTGATACTACACACTATCGGTACGCACACACCATAATCCCTAAGTCTTGGACAAGACAAACCAGTGATTGATAAAATGAGCAGTGTTTGGCATAGAAATGGAATAGGGTACAAGTTACCCCCAACTCTACACTTTATCTAATTTGGAGATTCTGCCAAATTATTACATTAGAATTCGAGGTTCGCATGTACACAGTTTGTTTGGGACAATATTTTGATTTTACCAAAGATCAAAGAAGCATACGGACTGGGGGGAACTGGTCAACGTGGGTATTTGCGAACTTTTAACCTATTCTTTGAAAGTTCGCATATATATAAATCATAATTCAGGACCTTTTAAGAAAGGTATGTGGCTAATGAAGCGGTGGCGTTTGTACACAGAGCCTAGACTACCGTCCCATCTGCCGATGTTTATTCGAGGTGTTATGAGATATGTATACATTTGATCTTCAAATCTTAACATAAATTCACCTGTCATTTCTGTTGCGCTCTGACCCATCAAATCGATGTCTGTTAAATCCAAATATTCCGCGAAAGAGATCTCTTGGGTCCATGGCTTCTAACTCTTAAAACAACACCCTACTACCTCAACTACGAGTTTGTCAGATATATCCTTGCATCAGCTAACACAGCCTCTGGATTGTTCCCATCGCCATCTTTGGCCAACCCGTCATTATTACAAACAAATTGATACTACAAAAATGCTTGAAACTAACACTTCAATCCTTTTCTGTCGAAATTAATACATAAAATAAACCTACAGATCTACAATCACATTTATTGATTGAGAAAGATGATCAAAATGGCATTGTTTTACTGCGTAGCTTTTACTCTAAATGATTTCTCCCTCACCTCCAACCTTTGACAGGTCATGTGGGGTCATATGTCACAAGCTAATGTCTGGTGTGTTATAACATTGCATTTACCGGCAGTGCGTGAACAGACGTTGTCAACTGCAGGAAGACGAGAGTCGCTTTACTGTAGGCTTCGTTCAGTCAGTAAACATGGGTGAGCAAAAACGTGATGACAACTACTACCACGACCTAGCCAAACAAACAGTAGCAACATGTCGAGGATATTACAACGATGACAGCGGTTGGGAGGTAGCAAAGAAGACGGTATGTCAGTGATTCGATGATATATTGATTATGTTTCATCGTGATATGAATATATGGAGCGTTATTACTTATATTGAACTAATGTGTGTTTGATAATGGCTTGATATCCATTCAACATTTTGTCGTATTAGGGTGAGAAGTGAAATTAAAAATTAACAAATTATCATAGGAAGGTCAAGTCGTTGGAAGGTAAATTAACATATAGATCTAGTAGTTAATGATAAATTTAATTTTTTTTAAATCTTTCAGTTGGCATTTTTTAACAACATTCTGTTGGTGGAAATTAGAGTTTTGATGGTAATTCATTATTATTGTTATTATCATTAATAATTTGGTAAGGATGACAGTCTTTTGAAAAATGCTGAAATATTCACACAGAACTGATATCATGAAAGAATTCATTTGATACCACAAATCCATTATACATGGTTTTACTTGTTTTATGTAAGTGGGAATTAGGCAAAAACTTATACCATATTAGTTTGTACAGCTTATCACTTGTCATAGTTTTATAATGTCCACTCAGGAGACCAAAAGCAATCTTTATCCTTACAAAAATAGCCAATCTCTTTTGTATGTGATCTATTAAGTAAGAAGTCTATGCAGGCTTTTACAAACTCGTGTTCTGGTATGCTTGGAGTTTGGAAGTAATGAGAGAGAATGTCTATTTTTTTACATCACAGACGTAGCGGGGTCATTACTCTCTCCTGTACATACATAACCCAGTCAAATAAGTCCTCATATTACACACTTCGCCAAACATGATGGCACCTTGACTGGAAATAACTTTCAAAAACTGACAACCTATCATTTCATATCAGTTATTTATGTTACCCAATGGATTGTTTTTTCATGAGCCTATGTTTATCTTAAAGTTTTAGCATGAGCTCTTAGTGTCTGTAAAATATTTTCTTTAAGGGAATAACACACTTATCTTGAGTTATGAATGAAAACTGTGTTACATGAATGTAAAAAGTTCTGATTTATTTCAGTTTTATCCTGTTTAGCTCTACCTCTGAATGATGTTACAATTGTCATCACCTTGCTGCAGAAACACATTTAGTTTCTCTTCATGTTTTTCTATTTAGTGGTTTGGTAATTTTTATTTTACATCATCACATGCATTATCATTTTGAAGTCTGTCATTTGAGATTCAGAATTTTAGTTATTTTCTGTTCATATTTGCCAGAACACCCCAAAAAAACTACAGTGACTCATTCAGTCTTTATCATGAAATGCTACTTTGTAATGGAACACATTCAAGATTGGATTTAGCGTATATATATATTTAACAATAAGGGAGTGGGAAAATTTAAGCTTTCGATTTTTTGTGGCCTTCCTCTAGTATTGCTTAAAGCGGGCTGTCACTACACAGCCTTGGTTTAGGGTCATAGTCAGTATGTATAATATCTTGAAGAAAATTACATTTAACTGGATCATGATGATATTTAAATGTTTTGTTTTCCAAAATAACTGAATTACATAATTTCAAGCCTCATTTTCTATGACAATGTAAGCCATTTTAACTCCACAGTGTGAGTCTTTTAGTCTTTTAAGTAATAACAGCTCTCAGGTTCAGGCAGAGGGAAAAAAAACTTTCTTGAACACATTCAGTTAAGAAAACTAAAGCTTTCCTCAGCTGTTACGTAGATATGTAGCGATGTAATTGACAACACGTCTAATATTCTTGGAGCCCCACATGTACAGGCAGCCTATGAGAAACATGTTTCCACTAAGTAGGCAGGATATGATGTGTGATCTATGAGAGCCATGACATTCTGTGCAAGGAAGTTGGGGAGAGAGGAGGAACCATTCATAAGACCTCACACTGTTTGCAGGGTTGGGTAATAGCGATTGACGTACACAGAATTCTTGGCCTTCCCAACGCCTTTAACTATACTAGTGTGATTGTGATTTATGAACTGCGTCTTTGAATGTTGGGTCATTAACTCAAATGCTTGAACTTGTCTTGCTTGAGTTGGCCGTCTTGGGGATTTTTTTTAATTAGCTACTTGTATAGTGAGTTTTGTTGACTTCAGGCCACTCCAGAAAGTTTGCAGTTGTCATTCAATGGGTTGTAGTTCCCAGTATGTGGAGATTGTCATTTAAATTTATAGGACTTAGCTTGGTATTGTTGGTCAATTACAAGGATTGGCTAACTTGAATTTCTTTTGACACTGATATGGAGTTATTTAATGTGTTTATTCAGGGGGATTAAAATAGGGCTGGGCAAATTTCCGTTTGAAACTCTGCTGTGTAACTTGATTTCTTTATTTTAACAAGTGGGGTACACCCTTTCCTTGGCATTTTAAAATTGAAACAAAATACTGGCAGTTAATTAGCTTGTATCTTCATTTACCTTAAGTTGGTATCAATGATAGATTTCGGAATGTACGACCTATCAGATGTCATTTTTTTATTGAAAAATTTGCTTTCCTTTCACCTGTTTAAATCGCCAGATATATCCAAGAGTTAAACAGGTTCTTTTCCAGTCTGTGTTGGGACTTCACTAATTCAGTGTAATAGAGGAGTCTGGCTTTAGTTTCAAGCCTGACTTGCTGAGCCTCAGTGGTGGTCGGGAGAACCCAGAATTGATCAAAATCTGTATTTAGCATCCTTATCAACCTGTTTCCTGCTCACTAAAACACAGATTCTGTCTGCTAGTGCCACTGTTCTGCTTGAGACTTTTCCCAAAGGTGTGTTATGTGTGCGTGAAGATTGTCAATATCTGAACTGACAAGACTCAAGTCTTAAGTGGTCCGTACTGATATCTTCATAACTAGTGTTTGCCTTCCGTTGTAGATTGATACAGTTTGGTATTAATAGGTGATGTTCAATTGGGTTCAAAAGATATGATGCTTAAATAGACATTTGTAGTGGTATTATCAATTTGATAAGATAACTGCATGATAAAAATTATTTTGTTTAAGAAGTTGACGATTAGGAATGTGAAGTTTAGACAGTCTCTCACAGTTCATGATGCCATAGAGATACCAATTAGGTCCCCATCCTATTCTTGTTGTTGGAGGTGATACATTAAGATTGGCTGGTTGGAAGGTGTGGCCTGGCTGCTTGGTTGTCACTGAACTTCAACAGTGGTCACCTATATGTTGATCATGCTATAAAACAGGTTTAGCTGGCCCAGCTGACTCACTCCACTCCGTTCCAGCTCTTCTCCACTCCACTCCACTCCTCTCCTCCTCCCCACGGCTCTCCGCTCTGCTCCACACCAGTCCAACTCACTCACTCACTCACCCCTCTCCTCTCCTTTCCAGTCCAACTCACTCACTCGGCTCCTCTCCACTCCTCCTGTCCTGTCCTGTCCTCTCCTCTCCTCACCTCTCCTCTCCTCTCCTCTCCTCTCCTCTCCTCTCCTCTCCCTCCCTCTCCTCCTCCTCCCTCCTCTCCTCTCCTCTCCTCCTCCTCTCCTCCTCTCTCCTCCCTCCTCCTCCACTCCACTCCACTCCACTCCACTCCACTCCACTCCACTCCACTCACTCTGCTCCTCTCCTCTCCTCCCATCTTCTCTCCACTCCACTCCACTCACTCACTCACTCAACCACTTACAATTGTTCATTGGAAGACAAATCATTCACATGTATTAAAGTATATATGTTGTGTTGTTGCATGCTTGCTTCATCACAGCCCTCATCTCAGGCCTGATCTGTATCATTATAATTTCATGACCTTGTATCTAAGCAGAAACTACTGTGTTAATGAGAATGTAATTAATGGTACGTGTATGTCTTGCCTATCTGATATCAGCTGATACAGGTAAACCTCCTCATCATTACCAAATTCATCAGTTGTGAAAAGGATTACTGTATGTTCAGGGTGAAAATTAATTTCAGATTAATTTATAAACCAAATGAACCAGCAAGTGATAAGCAAGAAACACAAACCTGATAACATAATTGTAGATCTAGCCTAATCGTATACGCACAGGATGACCTTGTTTGCAAGGGAAAAGCACCGACTTGACATGGTAATTGCATTGCTATGTGAACTTATGTGTACCTACACATTTGGCTAAAAAATAAAGTTAAAAACATACTTTTGCACCACAACAGAATCAGGCATTTACAGTAGACATCGGTTAAAGACGAAAGATTACAATGCTAATGACATGGTAACTCAATTTCTTTTATAAATAAAACAAGTTATCATTGTATTTTTTTTTTTCTACCAATGACTCAGATTTGTAAATACATACTGTCTACACATATAAATGAATAAAAATAATGATCTAATTTGAACCTGATCAAACAATATCCTATTCGAGGTTGAAGGGCTTATTCTTACAAATCATTGATATTTCCACACAGCTGATTTGTCAGTTATGTTACTACATATTTCTGGTTGATAACTAATCATTAACCCCTAAATCTTTTTGAAATAACATTACCTTCCCTATTGAAAGGCTGCAGTGTGTCTCTGCTCAACACTTACAACAGTCATTTTCTGGTGACATATACTACTCAAAATAAGTTAAACAATACCAGTGTAGGAAAGATAGCCCGTCCCAACGTCCGAGACGGGTGAATTTTGTGGAGGACGGGTTAAAAATAAATCTAGTCCGTCCTCATGTCGGGTCAGTTTTAGCAAACCAATGACATATATATAATGATTATAACCTTTTTGAATATTTACTGCCGAGGGATACTAGAATAATAAAACAGATAAATTGCGCATGTAAATGATATCTTACAATAAAACAAACCAGTTTTAAGTCTTGAAATGGTGTTTTATTTATATTTGGAGGACAGGCTAGATTTTGGCAGGACTGGTAAAAAATTTGACCAGCCAGTCCTGTGAACAGGCTAGATTTTCTACATCTTTCCTACACTGACAATACCCAGTTATTTCATATTACTATAGTTAATCTTCCATGACAGTATTATGAAAGAATCAAGTTTTCCTTAACTTCTGTGGAGTAGTATATGTGCTACTCCTCTGTTTCTCCCTATAAGTTATTCCCTATATAGTATACAATCCGTTCT